AGTGTTAGGGAGTGTGGGGAAAAGGGGCTTTATCTTGTGTTTAAGAACAGGGACCATCCCCAGGCCTCTCCATAGCAAGGGAGATCACCCTTCCCATGGCTGCAACTTCTCCAAACAGCAGATTTGGAGGGTCTGAAACTACATCAGGATGTTTTAGGCCCAACTCCCTCTTAACACTGATCTAACACTAAGTCACTAGTGCTATTCCTGGATCACACCAATATAAGGTGGATAGGAATCTGGTCCCTTCTGTACAGGCTGTGTTACACAATATTCAGCATAATTTCTTTTAGAACACTACCTGTTAATCATTCTAGACAGTGACTCATTTTAGGAATTAAATATAACCAACTCATTGTATAAACACTGGAAACATCTTGAAGCTAGAAGATGATTTTATCCAGAAAATGAAAAGTACAGACAGAGAATGAAAGAAGCCCTAAGAAGCAGCCAACAGTGTCTTAGGTTTAAGAGTTAACAACAGATCTAGAGTGTCTGAAAATGCAACAGTGTGATTCCCTCTTGTCTTGGTTTAACCCCAGCCAGACAGCCAGGACACCTCTGCACTGGGGGAAGGTAGGAGGCCAGCAGCCCTACAGACACCAACACAACCAGCCCCCTTGTCAGGGGCTGCAGGACCATGCCTCCCAGTTCTGCAAAGAAATCTGCAGTTCACGTGGACTTTCAGAAAGGGATCAGGCCTGCCACATTAGAAGTGTCTCCTTCTTTGCGAGAGACCCTATCAATTTTGCAGAGGTTTTGAGCCCATTATCACATTACAGGTAGACAGTTGTCATAAAGCATTAGATCTAAGCAAAGCTGACAGCATAACTGCAGGCTAGCTCCAGGCTTGGCAGTCTGTGCAGCACCTGCAGGCTCAGGACCAGAGTGTGCTCCATGAAGAGACAAGCTGGTGTAATCTGCTGTGAATCACTTTGAATTGCTGCCCTTAATTGACAGTGCACTCAAGACCTGGCCTGCTATAAATCCCTGGTATACTCATGCTTTTGCCAGGAACCTGCTTGCCCTCAGATGAGCAACAGCTTGAGTGTCACCTTTTTTTACTAGAGTAAGAGCTCTGTATTTTGCTCTGTTCTTTCATTACTGCAGTCTCACCATCATCAGAAGAATAAATAAGAATGTTTCTCCTGGGAGTGTGGAGGTTTTACAGGTGTTTGTGGGGAAAGCAGTCAATATGCTGCTACCCTGGGGAAAAGGAGAGGACACACACTTCAGATAAAGTCAGGAAAGCCCAGACACTGGAGAAGCACACAACCAGCATCAAAGTGCTGTGGAATAAGGCTATCTGAGCAAAATGGCAACGGCATCCTGGCATCCTGACGCATCATTCAGGTTTCTCAGCATCTTTTCTTATGGAGTATGTGTGGGAAAACACATCCAGATGATACAGACAGCAGAGGACAGAAGTCATGATTGATTGTCACCCTTGCACTCCAACATGAACCTAATTCTGCTCTCGCCAAGCCAGCAGGCATTTGCCAGATATTTCAATAGGCAGATGCCAACATTTCCTTGGGCAGGTGAGGAGGATTCCTCTTTTATCTACTGCTGTCTCAAGTCGCCTCCTAAACAAACTCACCTCCTTCTGTCCAAAGCTGGGATACCTCCTTTGGCTTCAAGTTTGTTGTTCTCATTGATGCCAAAATCTTAATGGACTTTTAGATCCAAATTCTTATTTATGCTGTGCTGGAAGCATCAAGAAACTGAAACTGAAAGTGCTCAAATGCCTAGCTCCTGTGATACCAATACAGGATGTAGAGATGCCAGAAAACAAAGGGGATTCAGGCCTTAGAGGCCCTTTAGAAGTCTCAGTTTTTTAATTAAACTTCAAAAAACCTTTGCTGAAAAGATTAGGAGGAAACATTCAGAGCATGATGGGGGGACATTCTGGCTGCTGAGCCAAGTCCCTTCTCTGCCACAGATGCAATTGTTCGCTTCCTGGTGAGAAACCAGCTGAAAGAAAAACCATAAAGAGATCACATGGTTGAAAGGAGCAGTTTCCATGACCAGACAAACCCTTCTCGTTATTCTTTTAAGTCTGCAGGGCCCAGACTACAGTACCTGGCCAGACTGACAGCTCAGAGCCATAGGATTTACCCAGGACTGCACGCTGCATCCTGCACCAGCTCTGCCTTCTTCAGCATCCCCAGGGACCAGTCCAACCTCTTCAGTGTTTGCTTAGCCCCACATGTTCCTTTCAAGGGCCGATTTGCGAGAGGGACCACCAGCAAAAAAAAATGTCAGATCTGGTTTAGGACTTGGTTTGAAGGCATTTAGATAGAAGAATAATTGCACAGGGATGTGGTTTACTCTGGAGAAATAAAGGCTGTGTTTAAATGTCTGAAATTCCTGGTGACTCTAATAATTGCAACCTCTGCCTCAATAAAATGCACAAATAATGTTATTGAAACATTTCCAATCAAAAGGTATTATTTTTGGTTTAAAACAGATGCAGTAGTCAGTATTTAAAAGGAAGACGTCTGGGCGGGCTTACCTCTATTTCAAGGGAAAACTACTGGAACATTGGTTTAGTTTCTCTGTTTTTATAGCCGACTTCTTACAACATTAATACCTTTATACTGTTACTTTTTCTAACCAACTGGAGAGTAGCTCTACAGTCATGAACTGAAGAGGTTTTATTACATTAAGGTGTATTTAAGAGCTTGACCTGGTAAGCCACCACATCCCTGGAGAAGCTCTATCTCTGCAGTAGCTGACATCCTCAGTACCGTGCTGTGTCAGCTTAACAGGCACCAGCGTTGCTCCAAGCATGGCTATTGCACCAGTCTAGCAGGCACCAAATGAATTTAGAAACTTAAGTGCCCCCTGCCACTTTTCACTTGGAGGATCACAGGGCTACATGACAATGGCTTGTAGGTTCAAGACTATATTTTCGGGGGCATCTTGACACTTCAAGATACACCAGACACCTACCAGTAAGACTTAGAAGGTACAAGCTTGTAAAGCACCCACCTGCAGCTTTAAATGCTTAAATATCAAATGCCTCTCTCTGTTCTGAAAAGGGAACTCAGGATCCTCAGCACTCTTGGAATTTTGCCTTGAGCTCTCTGCTGACCTGCATTGTTCACATGAGCAAAGTGAGATGCATCTCACAGAAGCTGGCAGAAATTGGGCCAGTGTTTCATGATTCATGTGCCTATAAGATTAGCTATAATTAGTGTCTTCAAGTAAGACAATAACTGTATCATGCTATTGCACTCCATGGATGCAGTATCAGCACATATGGAAGACATTTATTACCATAAATATTCGGGCACTTGATAGTTATCCAAAAATACAAAATCAGGTTAATCATTCTATCCTACAATCCCTGGCAAGAGATTTGAACTCAGGTTTTTCTGGCTCAGCTTAAGGCTTTACATATATGATCACTTCTGCCAGCTGGCAGAACTAAAATCTTAGGCTGAAATAGATCTCCAGCAGCCAAATCTATCTGCACAGTAACATTACAGAGCTTGGCTTTTTGCAAGCCATACACTACCTAAAGATATCTTGCTGCTGCATATAGCTGTGAAAGTTGATGTAGAACAGGTAGAAGAATTACTTTTCTTTTCAGAGTTAATCATTAACATCTCTCAGGGGACTAACCAACTGAGGCTACTGTCTTACTTCCAAAGGTTGCCCATACATGCTGCCCACACATTATACATGGGTATCTATGCTGTTCCCACATGCATATGTGTAAAGTTGTTTCCAAAAAATAAGCTGGAAGAGGAAATCTCTAAATGCTAGCTAGAATGCATAGCTACTCATCAGAGCTGAGGCATGGGAGAATAAACTAACAAACTTCCCTTTAAAAAGCTGTTCAGCAACATCAGCACCAGTGGTTATTCGACTTCCAGTAACACAGCACAACATCCTTGGACTCATCAGCCCTCCCACAAATGCAATAAAATTCAGTGACCATTTTATGATCTCCTATTAGGTGTCATAAAACCACAAGACCCATGTGTTACTTCCCAGCCCTGCTCTTTAAGGGAAACTGCTAGAGTTCAGTGCACACAGGTCCATGATTTGTGAATTTACAGCAAGTACAGTCACACTGTCAGTCCCTGGATCTGTCTCAGCCCACCTGCACCATTATGCATGTATACAAGATGAAGACATTTCTCAGATACCAAATATTCAGAGGCCTGGTCATGGCTCGTGAGCCCAGTCCCAGCTCCACACAGCACCAGGTTTAGTAACAGGACAGCTACTTTCTCTGGACACAGAGTCAGAGCCAAAAAAATACTCTCTGGATCAGTGCCAGCCCAGCACAGATGCAGCCCAGGCACCCCTGCAGTGAGGTTCTGAAACTGTAAGGCTCTGCAGAGCCAGACCAGGACTCTGCAGACCCAGCACACAGTTAAAGCCTCCATCAGGAGCCAAGCTGGCTCTTTGCAGAGGCTTTGTAACACATCTGTATCCCAGCCTTCAGTGCACCCCAGAGTGGATGTACTACCTAGGTTATTGCATCACTCATCAGCTTATGACCAGCTGATGGGAAACAGAAAAGCTGGTGAAATCTTGTTACAAAAGATTACAAAAGAGAGCAGCACCTAGTAGGTGAACACAGCAATGCTGGTGCCATCTGGGATGGGAATTCCCCCAGTCACATATAACTGCTCAAGTGTTAGGCTTTAAAACAACTTTTACTTCTTTTCCCCAAGTAGCATTCACCTAACATCCCTGAAGAGCAAAACTTTCCCGTACCACCATAAGTACAGGTCCCAGGTACATAAAAGATCCCGCCTTTGAGCCATGTGCAAAAAAGCTGAAGCAGGTAGAGCACACATGAGGTTTTTGCAGTACATAACATAGAGCCTCACATTCTTCCCCTTCACTTGGAAACTTCAGGTACCTCAAATCAAGGAGATTCAAGCTTTCCCTTCCTAACCTTCATCTACTCCACAGCTTACAAGCTGACCACCACCTCACACACTTGCTCAGGAAGCATCCAGACTCTTCCACCTTACCCTGACTACTTCCAGGATGAACCTACCAGCACATTCTTCTGTAGCCATTCCTGATCCTCTATCAAATTGCTGTAGGTAGCCCACTCTTCCCTGCTTACTCTGTCAGGTCAGCACATAACCACAGGCTCTTTACCCGAGACCACCTCTTTCTTTTACTTTACATGACAGTCTCCTCCAGATTCCTTCACCGTTTGCTACTTGGAAAAAAGCCCTCTTGACCCTGGCAGGAAGGCAGTAGGCTGAGCCAGTTAAACCCCCTCACAAAACACACCTTGAGGCACTTAAGCAGGTGGCCCCGTTCCACACACCTAACTGGGTTAGATCTTGGAGCTGAGTGAACCCTGATCTGTGCTGGTAGCTGCTGCCCTAAACCACCTTTACCTCACAGTTCAAGGAATGTGCCTCTCCCTGCAGACCTTTCCACTGTGTTTTGGGCAGTAGGACAAAATAACCATGGCAATACAAGGTTCTTGGTTCAGTTTGGAAGGCTGGATCACCAGCTGGGTACTGCAGTGGTTGACATATCCATTTACATGGCCATATATATAGTATGTAATGTGTATATATATACATGTGTATGCATGTATATACATGCATTTACCAGACAGTACACTATGTTTATCCATAGAACCTTAACTAACATTGCATCAGAAGAAAAGAAACAATTTGCAGAGGGTAAGTGCCTGTTAATCATAAGCTAAAGGGGAAAGGAAAAATTTTAAGTGAGATATAAAGGGAGGAAGTGACTCAGTGGGTGGGAGGGAGGGGACAAGCGTTCCAGACAGATGGGACATGAATAACTTTTCCATCTCCCTCTCTCTCTTCTCTCCCAAGTCTTGCAGGAACTGCTGTGTTGAAATAGTCAGTCATTAACTATTTGATGAGGTTTTAAAATCTGAACTGAATTCTCTGACTGTAACCAACTATTATTACAGGGTCTGCATCACAGCAGTGCAAGTGTTGGAGCCCTTTGGCAAGCCATAGTGGTGAAGGCAGGCCTGAGCACTCTGTAGGAAAAGCCACTAAATGGCGTCGGCTGTTTAGCTGTGCATAGCCTCGGTAATGCTGCAGGAATCAGAGCAGCGGTGATTAGTGAGTGTGCAGACCAACTGTGACCAAGCAACAGGGCATCCATCCGCACAGCCAGCACAAAAGCCAACATTCAGGCTCTGCTGGCATTGCTCAGCCTGCAGGAGAACCAGGGCCCAGTATGCACTAGGCAAAGGTCACGCTGAAGGAAATGACTGTGGTCTTCCAAAAACCTTCTCGCTTTGGCTGTCCTCCTGCACTGCAGTCCCTGGGATAGATTCTTCCACCAAACATCATCCACCTTTCCAGAAGGCTGGGGCGCAAGCAAAAATGCCCTTTGGTGCTAGTTCAAGGGCAGGATTCAGACCACTAGTGCCAATATTCCCCTGCTGCCCATGGGGAACCTCTCCTGCACAGTCCACCTTATGCTACACAAACAGGCTCTGAGAAAACCCAAATGAAGTATTTCCCTTCCTGAATGCCAAAGGCTAATTGACCAGCCTGAGACCTGCTGAACTTGGTGGAACCAGGGTGGATATAATCACTCAAGAGAGCCAATAACCAATTAGCTGAATGGCTTCAGCAGTTTTGAGGTCTGCCTCTTTATTCAAGAGCAAAATAAATATCAATTTCTTAATAAGCTTTGTAATATCTGCTATTCCTTCCTTCTCATTATTATTATTAGCATTGCAGCAGTGTTTTGTGCATGTAATGAAAGAGTAAGACAAGGACTGGAAGAGCATGAGTGGTGGAGAAGGAGTAAGCAAAGTGTCAAGCCAAAACACCATATATGCATATGCGTACACATACACATATAAAACAGGAAAGCTGTACAAATTCTCTACAGCACAGGTCCAGCAGGTCATGAGGGGATTCTTACCATGAAGTAAGAGCCTACCCCTGCTGGTAACTTTTACCTGTTTATCAGAGAGGTTTTGCACAAAGAAAAGCCACACCTAGTGTGGCAGTATAGAGGCTGGCCTGGCCTCTCCAGCGCTGCCACAATGGCCATGGGCTCACTGTAGTCCATGAGCTCAGCCAGTTGCTTCCATCAGGCTCAGACCAGTAGGGCCCAGCTGGTAACCAGTCATGGCAACCAGAGCACAGATGCTCACTGGCCCTGCAGCCGTGACAGTGCATGGCAGGCAGGGCATAAGTACACTGTCCCTTCTGCCACTGAGCACACTGACCTCTGGCAGAGGGCTGGGGCAGGTAATACCTTCATCTGCCACCGCTGCATCCATCAGAACCCCAAGAGTTATGCTCCTCAAACCCCATCATTGCATTCCCTGTAGTTCCCCTATGTGTTTTGCTTTTGAAATTGCAGGTTCTTACTCTCCCTGCAGCTACATCAGTTGAAATCTCATTCCCTTTGTCAGAGAGCCTTCAGCATTCTTTGCTGTCTCCTCTCTTGCAGGAAGGCAAAAAAACAGCAGAGCAATATACAGATTCCTCCCTGCCTCCCAATTCCTCTGTTTCTGCTTCCCTGAAATCAGGGCTACTTGGAGCTAACAACCTCACCCATGAAGACACAAACAGCATTGTCTACATTTTTCAGCATCTCCCCATACACCATCACATGTTGTGAGGCAGCCTTCTGGTGAAAGTGCATTTCCCTTTTGAATACATGACTCGGTGTGGCCCAGAGAAAGCCCCCTCCACAAGGCTGCCTTCCTTTTTTCTGTGTGCATTTTAGCTGAGAGTGTTTTACCAGACTGCACAACAAGCAAAACATTGCAGAAGTCATCTCTGAAGGAGAAACTGAGAACTCAAGAGGAAGGGTGCTGTGTTGGAAGACCTTATTTTAAAGGAGCTGTAGCTGGATAATTGTCCAAGACAGACTGGCTTGTTGACTCTCTCACAGCAAAAGGCACAGGGCTGTTTAATTGATTTTAGCCTGTAACTAAACATATACTTCTTTCAATATAATGAACAGCGATGCTACAATAGTGCTCTCCTAATGTAAATTGATCCATTACAAATGAGTGTTTAGATCAATGTGTGATGTCCTGATTGGAAATAAAACTGTTTGCTCAAGATCGCTATAAAGACAATGGGCACTGATAGATGATATTTATGTGACAAGGAATGGCTCTTAAAAAGGAAATTGCCAAGACCATGTCCATCAATTATGAAACCAACATTCACCCAGCAGATACGCACTCTTTTAAAGACAAGAAAGAAGAAAAGATACCAAAGCCATTGATGTAAAATACATAAGGCACTAGAATGGCAGAGAGTCTCGTCAAAGGCTGGGAGAGCTTCATGGCCATACATGGTGACAGTGTAAGTCAGCCATAGGAACAAGAGCACCCACTAAAATGACATAGAACGAATCTCTGTGGCTTTACATGAATGGGAGACCTGAAGAAACCCCTAAAACCTTGTGAGTTTGTAGCAGCTGAAAGACTTCCCAGGTCTTTCATTTCCAGGGCTGCCTTGGGGCAGCACCACGTGTCCCAGTTCAACATTCAGGGGAAGGTAAAAGATAAAACTCTTAATGGAAGAGGGCCACGTACATCCCCTCCCTCTTTGTGGTGGGGTCTGTGCCCAGTCAGGGCAAAGCTGCGGTCTCTGCAGGCTGGTGCAGGTGGGCTCACCTCCCTCAGACCCTTGGTGCTGCTCACTTTCCAGTGTGGAATGCACTGTCAGCCCCAGGCACATGGGCACGGGTGACTGCAGCAGCCTGGGCAGGGAGCGAGCACCAGTGGCCTTGTAGGACTGAATGACACTGTTTATCTACCTGCACTACACTGGGGTTTGTTCCAGATAATTGCACCATGGTTTGTGTCCTATATGCTCACAACCCATGTTTTGTCATCTCTGTGCATTTAAAGTTGATGACTCCAGTTACTTTCCAAGTCGGTTGTGATTAACACATGTGCTTCTTTCGCTGGTAGCTGTTCCTTGTGGTCTTTTGTTACCTCACTTGCATGGGGCATTTTTGTTTTCTCCCTTGTTTTCTAAGAGCTGCAGTATGGCTTGCCTTTGTGCTGGATTGTGTCCCAGCCATTCATTACTGGGGCAGCTGCAAGCACTTCTTTTTCTTCTAGGGACAAGCTTCTCCTTTGAAGCACCCTGCCAGAGCCCATCAGGGCACTTGGTGGGACAGTGCTGTGCCTGTACCACCACACAGGGCCTGGTGCCCTCATGCTGGCCCGATCACCAGCTCCACAGGCAGGAATCTTGGGCAGGGTGGACCTGCCCTGGCAGTGGCGGTGCTGGGGGGTCCCGGCAGCATGGCCTCCATGGGTGATTGACACAACCAAGATGGGCACCAGGGCTGATAAAATGGCTGCCGCCACAGCCACCACCACACCACCTCAGAAGCAAAGTCACTCTGCCTACCCTGGCTCTTCCTCATCCCATTGGCTGGGGCACCAGCAGCTCCGCTCCTGATTGGCTGTGCCTGTGGTCTGTCAGCCACACAGAGGCAGCAGGTATGGCGGAAGGTGTGGGGGGTGCAGGTGCCCATGGCCAGATGAGGTGTCAGACCATCGGGCTGCAGGCAGCTCTCCCCTTGCTCCGGTCGGGGCTCTGGAAAGCCTTCTGTTGACTTTAAATGGCTTCAGTGCAAGAGTGGGAACATGCTGGCAGCCCTGGTGGCTCCAGAGCTGGGTGGACCCGCTGAGATGTGAGGAGCCACTGGTTGCCTGAGGACTGGAAGTGTTCAAGGCCAGGTTGGACAGAGCCTTGGGTGACATGGTCTAGTGTGAGGTGTCCCTGCCCATGGCAGGGGGCTGGAACTAGGTGAGGCACCTGCCCAACAGGGGGTTGGAACTAGGTGATCTTAAGGTCCTTTCCAACCCTAACTGTTCTATGACTGTGATTCTGTGACTATGGTGACAGGGGTAGGATGGCACACTCAGGGCCTGGAGCCTTGCACTGGCTGGGCAAGTGCTGGAAACAGCGGGCTTGCCTCTCATTTCAGTACCAGCCAGCCACAGATGGCCGTGATGGGACAGGGCTGAGCTGGCTTGGTGCAGTGGCACTCAGCTTGCAGTTGGTGTAATTGCTGTCTGTGAATGGACTGGGTGATGGGTGGCCGGAGGTCAGGAGGGGACGCTGGGTGGGGGAAACTAAATGAAAGGACAATGTTGACAGAGAACAAATGATGCTAAATGGCCTGTGAAAACAGATCCATTAAGGAAATGATATTCTGCAACAGCAGAATAATACAAATTTAAATACAAATAGAGGAGGAAAATAGCCTTTAAATACAAACAGAGGAAACTTGTGAAACTGGTGGCTGAACCTCCTGGTGAAGGATTGCATTTGCCGGTCATGTCCTACTCCGCAGTCCTTGCAAGAGTCCCCTTCATGTCAGTCTTCTGTGTCTGTCCTCCCCTGAGATGTAATACATACCAAACACTTCTTCTGGCCAGCTCTGATCAGAAATAGCTGAGACTGTGTGGAGCGTAGCATATACTTTCATCACATGGTAAAGAGGGACTACGGCTGTGTGACCAAGGAACAGTCTGTTAGGGCAAGAAGGAGCTGGTCCCTCTCCTCTCAAAGCCAAGGGCATGAGCTCCTACTGATCTGAATAGACTTGGGACATGGAGGGGTCACCCGTCATGTCAGTTTGTAAGGAAAGTGTTTGGGGACATCGTGGTGGTTGTTGTTGCTCAGGCACTGCCACTCATGCTCAGGTTGTTCAGTTATTGCAACCCAGGAGCAGGCTTCCTGAGTTTGTGACAGAGCAGCTCTGTTGCTCTCAGCACCATGCCAGCTTATGCAGCCTTGAATGGTGTTCCTCCAGCATCCTCTGTCTCCCACCTCTATCCCTATAAAAGAAAAGCACAGTGGACAAAATGGCTCAGCTGTGTTTTGGGTGTTGAGAAGGGTGCGACATTACCTGTTTCATGGTACCTTAGCGTCTCTACAGTGCAGAGAGGAGTGTGATATGAAACAGATGAGAACTGCATTAGAAAATAGCTTTTCTGGGAGCAGTTGCCCCTTAGGGCAATGCTAGCAGTTAACTTTGTACTTAGTCCTACCACAGCATGAAGCACATCCATTCAAGCATCAGCTTTATAGCTCTGCAGAACATGGGTTAAGAAACAGGCAGGCACAGGCCTGCTGGTGGCACCTCAACAAGACCGAGACTGATGTCTTCCTCTGCAGGGACACAGACAGGGGCTATAATATTTCTGTAGCTCTTCTTGTCTCAGAAGGGTTGTGTTCTATTCACGTGCAGTTACTCTGTGTTTGGCTGGCACTTTCCACCCTGAAGGAAATCAGTCCCTCAGAAAGCCTCAGTTGTGCCTGGAGTCGCTGAGGAAATATTGGCCAGTGGCACATTCAGCCTGGTGCTGTAATGAGAGCAGGTCTGGAAACCTCCCCATGCCTACAGCATGGAGCCCTCAGAGCTGCCCACTGTGCGCACTCATCCTTGGTCTCACTGCAGTAGTGAGCAGTGATCGGGTTTGTTCTCCCTGCCTGTTGCTCACTTCACTACAGCTCTCACCAGCAAAGGAGCTGACCTGGCTCTCAGCCAGGTAAACTCCTAGAAGGGGGGATGATGCATGCCAGGTCCTGGCAGTGCCAGTGGCATGAAGCACTTCCAAACACTGCCCCAGAACTACAAAATCCCATTCTATTATTCTTGCTCAAGTGCCAGATCAGTGCACAAGACAAAGGAGAAATTATCTTCTCTGATCTTCCCTTGCCTATATCTTTCCTGTGTCTGGATCTCAGAGCTGCCTTATGGAGCAAAACCATCTGTTTTACTTCAGTACAGCTCTGATTTTTGTCTGAAGGCACCTGACCCATCTCTCAGGCTGAACAATCCTATCTATACTGATCCAGGTATGAGATGCAATGAAAAGCTACAGTTCTGTAGCATATATTCAGCATATACGCAGAATAAAACGATGTAAATTAAAGAGTGACAGGTAGTACCTGTGCATTCTCAAGGTTCACAAGCAGCAAACAGCCTTTTTATTAAAAAGCTTCTCTTCTTGTCATTCTCTTGGTGCACTCTCAAAGGCAGTACAGAGGGGACACTCTCAAAGGCAGTACGGAGGGGAATTCTGTCACTAGCCAGAGCAGGTTTTTCCTTGAAATGGCTCCAATTCTAGGAAATTCATCTGATCAGAACAGCTACTTCAGAGGGAAAACCCATCCTCCAGTACCTGGGACTTTCACCCAGAAGCAAAAAGCCTAACAAAACACAAAACCAGGAAGGGAAAGCCAAACAAATCCCCTTTGACTATGGTACAGATTTAGCAGAGGAGAAACCACCATTCAAAAAAACTACTGAGGGCAACAGTAGATTTTTCCAGCTCCTGAGGTCTTCAAATCAAGACCAGATCCCTCTGAAGGGTAAATTACACCACTCAGAGGAGGAGGAACGGGATGTAGCTCCTGACACACAAATGCAGGACAGCAGGGATGACTCTTGCTTTAAACACGCGCTGCCTTGCAGGCCAGGCCGGGATTCCAGGGCTGAGGCATGGTGTGCCTGGTGTGTGCCTGGGACCCCCGGCAGAGGTGAGCTGCTCGGCAGCAGGGCAGCCTGTCACACAGCCAGAGCGGCCAGGGGAACAGCAGCACAGCTCAGGAGCTCGAGGGGTGTCTGCGCCTTGTCTTGCCTTGCCTTGCTTCCCACCACCCTTCCTCCCCCCTCCCCCCACCCCCCCCCGCTCCAGTGGCACACACCCGCCAGTCGAGCAAGAACAGCGCTTGGCTATCAGCAACCGAAAATTGGGAAGGAGGGGAAAGCCTGCAGGAATCTGTGCTCCAGGCGCTGCTGTCTCTCCCTCACCCCTCTCATCGTTTTGCCTGAGGTGGGGCTGACTCACCCGCAGCACGCTCCCCGGCTGGCAAGCTCCTCACCGCCTGCACCGCAGCCAAGGAGTGAGCACACAGGTTTCCTGCCATCGCAGTGAGATGGGGCTTTCACACTCCTGAACTGTCTGTGCATGAGCAAGAAGGGGATCTTGGCAGGGATGCCAGAGCCACCTCCTTCCATCCTTGCTTCCGTGAACTCTTCCAAAGGTTTCAAGGGTGGCCTGCATTTGCTGTTCCCTGTTGGCTTTGTCACATCGCCTGCTCCCCGAGTCTCAGGCTGCCAGCACATCTCTCCCCTGGATGACTTGGCTCGTGTTATTTTGTGTTAAAACCGGTATGATTTTTTAATGGCTATAAATAAGTTAAAACTGCATCTTTAATTAATCACTGCACTTTATATTGTAAGTGGAGATTTTTCATAATGACTCGTTTATGATTTTAAGGTGCCATTTGCTCACTGTCAAATGTATCCCTCCATGTTTATCCCTTTTATCCCTCCCTGTTTAAGAGGTTCAGGGTGGAAACAAAATTTCATCAATAAAGGATTCTAATCCATTTAGTCTAGAGCAAATAATTGGTTACTAAGTAAGTGGGAAGGGATTGAGTGGATACTTTTATCTAAGCAACAATGAACTTTAGGCAATAGACAGTATGTTCATAAACCCATTTTAAAGTAATCTTAAAATGTTTATTTTTCACTCATGCGGGTTTGAAATTGGAAATACATGTCTGGATGACTAGAACATGAACAACAAATGGGAGCAGCAGCATGTAAAGTATAGAGGAGTAGAAGCATTAACAGAAGTATTTCTGCTATAGCAGCTACTAAATGGTATTTTTTTACGGTTTGGAAGAAGAACCCATATGTTTATAGGATCCCCCCCCCCCCCCATTTAAAATATGTGTGTGTTTTTCCCTAGATATTGTTTAGCTATACACACACACACAGAGTGCATGTATAAAACTGTCTATCAGTGAAGTGAGCTGTTCCTCCTTTTGTTTCTTGTCCCACTGGCAGGCAGCAAAGGACACCCAATCCAGCACCATCAGCATCTTCACAGCATCTGCCCTGTGCAGTATCAAAGGCCAGTTCATGCGCTCTGAGAGAGAGCCGCGGAGCCCCAGCCTGGCCTGCCTGCCTCGCACATCGGGACTGTGCCCGCTGTTGGAAGCAGAAGCAGAAGCAGCTCAGTAGCACCAGGCTGTTGCGAGTTACAGCACACTGTGAGTCACAGCAGCTCACCAACGCATTGTGAGTTACAGCCCTTTCCCGACACAAAGAGGCTGCACCTCTGGCCTGGAGATGGTTTGTTCTATTTGCCTGCACCAGCCCCCTCAGCAGGGGCACAGGCAGCCCAGGGCCCCCTCAGAGATCAGTGCAGGGAGAGCAGCTGTGCCCCACCGAACAGCAGTCAACCAAACACTGCCGTGCACAGCTTCCAGGTGCCCACACTGGCTGTTCAGGTATTCCCTGAGCAGTCAGGAGGACACTTGTTTTCATTTGGTCTCAGATTATATTCAAGTGACAAGCAGGTGGCTGGATATCCAAAGATGTTGTTTAATTTTTTACTCAAGGATGCAAATAAGCCACAAAAAGAACTATTGAATAGGAACTAGAGAAAAAAAATAATAAATGCTTTAAAAAACTGCTCTACCTCAGTTCCTAGACAACTTGAGTTATGTCTGATGTGCAGTATATGATCTGTCAGCTAGGATTGAATCCAGGCACTCACCACTTTGTTAGCTTAAGAATTTTGAGCAATTTTTTCCATTTATCTGTATTCTCTCCCAAATCATTTCACACATTTCTCAGATACATCAATCCTTCCGGCATTCCTCTAGACACTCAGTAGGATGCCCTGCTATAAATATAATAAAGCCTTTTATTATGTCCATTAACCATGGACATGTGTGCTCCAAAAGTTTCCTGACACGCAGTCATTTGTGGCTTTTTAATTATAAACAGGAAAAAATCTACCAGCAAAAGAAGACAGCAGGCTGGAAGCGGATCTCCCATGTGTGTGTTTTGAGTGTGTTCTCCGAACGGCTGACGGCACCCACTCCCTCCTCCTCCTCCCTTCGGAGACTGCCTGTGAACACACGCAGTCCACAAACAGCCAGTGACACAACAGATCAGCTGTGCTGACCCCAGGGGGCTCCTGCACGTTTACAGTAACACCCATCAATTCATTTGTTGATATGCAGATACAGCCCCTTCATTTTGCAGACCTTCTTCCACTTGGATCCAGCAGAAAAGAAAAAAGGCCCAGTAAATTACTTGACAAATTAAGTCATATTTATTGAATGCCTTTTATTTCAACAACCAAAAAATTCTAACAGCCTAACAATGCACATAAGTTAAAAATTAATTATCACTTAGTGATAACAAAGATAAAGTTGATTTACATGGAAAAAAGAACATTTACAATATGTTAATCCTTATTCACATTGTTGATACCGCAATAAAACACAATTTGTTTTTTTCTTTTTTTACTTTTTATTTCACAAAAAAAGGCGGAAAATTGTGCTTTGTTAAGAGGCACTACAAGAAAAGTTTCTTTCTCCAAATAGATATTATATGATGGATATTGAATAAATAGACATATATGCATTGTAATTCGCAAAGTTCTGGCAAGACCACAGGCTAAAATGCCCACAGATTCACTTAGAACCACTGCAAAATTGGCAGTGAAATTAAACATAAAAAGGCAAGACTCAGCATTGAAAAAATACCTAATAAAATTTTTGGTTGAAGTGTAAAAGATACCAAATGTTGATGCCATCATCGGAGGAACGACCTTACGGAGCGTGGCAAAATTCAGTTTCCTTTCAAATGTATGGAGTGATTTCAGCTACAGGATAAGACGACAGTTTTGAAAGGGTAGCTCTCAGAGAAACATAAAGCAGCAACCATCGAAATTCTGATTAAAGCTGCAGCATACTACAGAAATAAAGGATGAAGAGCAAAAGGGGCATTAAGTAAGCAACCCACCATCATTTTGCAAAGTTATATGAAATTTATGCAGAGATACTCATATGTTTCAAACATTAGTTCTGAAAAAATCCTTAAAAACTCCAGAGGTTACTGATCAGCTAGAATTAGCTTGTATTGCAACATCTTCTCCCTGTATATTGTCTGTTCTGAGGAAGTATCTACACGTAGAGGTTCGGTTTTCATTTTTAACTCCTACCTTTTATACCTTTCAAATATATAAATAGTATTAACAGTTATATTACATTGCCTGGTGTAGTAAACAGAAAAGTAACTTTCAAAGTGATATTGCATGAGGTCTTTGTCAAGGTTACACAAAAAGCCCATGTGAAAAAAGAAAGGAAAAAAACCCCAAAGCCTTGTTGGTGCGATTATGACTGCAGTTTGAACAGGCATCTGAAATCAATCCAGCTGCACGAGTAGCAAAGGTGAGGTCTTGTCTCGGAAATCATTGCACAGAAGTGGAAAGGAAATGCTACTTGGTGTCTCTTTCGATATGATGCCTCAGAACGGGTGGATACTATAGGAGACTGCAGCTTTAGTGCTCATGCCACTGAAGAGTCAGTCGGTATTAGCTCTGCTTTATGTAACGTAGCTGCCAGCTAGGCTGCTGCAAAACCCTTCAGCAGGAGGTGGGTGGGTGCAAAGGGCCCCTCGTAGCAGGGAGCCTGGGGCACCAAGCCCTGGGGTGGGCTGCAGCCGGGGGACCCGCGGCTGAAAACACTTCATTTCACTGGCACAAAACGCATGACACAGAGGAAGCCCGGCTAAACTGGGACCACGGGGAGGGAGGGCTGGCGAGAAGGGCGAGCGGGAAATCAGCAGCACAAACCCTCAGTCTGTCAGCAATTTACCTGGACAGGGTGGCTGGGATTGTGGCATTTTGTGTCCCGATGTAACTTTACACTTGTGTGAGTGTGTTTCACCTCAGTATAAACAAAAAGCAACAACAAGAAGGAAGCTCATACATTTTAAGATCTGAAACAGAGAACAGGTAAATAAAATCCACAGTAAAATGTGGTTCATAGTATGAATTCCATATGTCAAATCTCAACATGTTATCTTTCTTCTCTTTCTATAAAGACCTCGTTAACAGACAAGTCTTCTATGCACTGAATTTCAGGTTTAGTCATTCTGAATCCCAAGAAAATTCATCTGTTCACTATGGAAAGGACTGTCTGGAGAGTGGAACATGCTGTATCCTTTTAAGTGTGCATTGTGTTCAAAGTACTTTAACTTAACTAGTTTTCTTTTTAAGGTGCCCTGATTTGTTTTTCCATTTTCTCTCTTTTTTTTTCCTCTTTTCTTTTTTTTTTTGGCAGTGTTGATTTACATCTTTAAATACATACCTCAAAAATTACCCATCAAGTTGCCAGATAGGAAGCCATATAATAATGCAAAAAAAAAAAAAAAAAGAAAAAAAAAATCAGGGATAAACATAGAAAATAAATAGGAATTCAAAAATAGTCACCACACCCTGAGAGCAGGCGGCAGTTTATCAAAAGCCAAAGCAACTCATTGTGAAGTGGTTTTAATACATAAACAAGTCTCATCTTTAAAGAACTCATTTCACAGTCTATACTTTCAGGTTGCAAAGTTCCGTCCCATGCAATTTTAATATATATATATTTTATGTAAATATATATATATACACACAGAGTTGTAAATTTTCCTTCATTGATTTCATAGGACTTTTTCTTCCCATTTACTTGCTAGATGTCCCTTTCATAAGTGCAAGATTAATGAAGGCATAATCCTATGTGATTACAATGATTACTTCAGTCAAACGCAGAAGTGTAACACTCGAGTGTCTGTGTCAAGGCGCTGTCTGATCGGGCAATGCTGAATTCATTCGGTTTGCACATGGATCATGCGCAACAGGAACAAACAAAAAGTAAAAAGAGAAAAAATAATTAGAAATAAAACCAGAAAATCCTTGGATCAATGTATTGCTTTCTGCCCTCCTGTCTCACATTATCTCTGGTCGATGTCCGCTGGAGCTGCCTTGCTTTTGTCGGGGTTCTCCTCCTCAGGCTCCACTTTGTACATTTCCTCAGAGCCCTCCTCACTGTCGTTCTCCTCCGACTCCGTCAGCAGCTCCTCATCCTTGTACTCTGCCACGTCAACCACCGTTCCCAAATGCTCTTTTAGCTTCCCGTGGTGCTTTACATGGTAACGCTGGTTCTGGAAGAATTTGATAATGGTGTGTTTGGGGAGATCCAGCTGAGCAGAGAGGGTGTGGATGGCTTCCTGATCAGGGTAGAGACCCACATCGTGGATAAAGCTTTGAAGGATACCGAGAGCTTCCAAGGAGATCTTGGTACGGGATCTTGGCTTTTTGGCACAACTGTCCTCAGCAGGTGGAGGAGGAGCCTCTTCTCTAGGTGGGGAATTCTCCTTCGCAGGCTGGGACTGCTGTCTGTGCAGCACCTGCAAGATCAAACAGACACAGACTTCACGTACATGCTGACTCCCTCGGTGCCTGAGATGAGGGCATTTGCATAGGTCTTTACTTGCACAGGGTCTACTTTGTTTTGGTGAAGAAAAGTACAAATTAATGTTCACTTCCCACTGCCTTTCTCACCTGTAACACAGCTGCACCAGTGAAGGAGAAAGTGATGCTAAACACAAACAATATAAAATAGATACAAACCCACTAAGACAGACATACAAAATGCAAGTAATAAAAAGAAATATAAAATAGACAAAATAAAAATGAAGTCAAAAGGTATTACAGTCTCATGGTCACGATGACTGGCCAGTTGTTCTCAGACAAGTCACTCTCTGGCTTTGCTTCTTTCCCCCCCTCCTTGTTTCCTTGCATCCTTTTAAGCTACAGACTCTCACCTTTCCTACCGGATGCCAAGTACCACAAAGACCCAGACACACGTGGGGCTGTCAGGTGTTACTTTATCATAAATAAGAATTTGGCATTGAAATCCATCACAGCTGCTTTATGGAAGAAAAAAAAGAATAATAGAAGTGCAGAGATTTGTCAAGATTTCCCGTCTATGAAAAGTGACATTGCAGCCAGTTCAGTTGCTTCACAGAGCTGGCTTTAATGTGTCTCCTGAACAGACTTCTATGTATTACATCTGTCTGAACTTCGCTAGTTGAGAAGATCGGAGTTCAAATAATTATAACCTCCCATTCTGAGAAACCCCCTGGGCAAACACACTTTTCAGTCTTGCAACAGATTTACACCAGCAGAATCTCCTTTTCGGCATGTTTAAAGAAAGCATATGTAGCTCTTAATCTTCCTAACAGCCACTTAAAATGACTAAGAAATGGCTTGTGCAGCCCTTATTCCAGGGGAAAAACACCTGATCTGAGCTGTTAGAAATACAGAGGAGATCCATATGCTTTCTTTAAAACCGAATCTATACAGGAGAGATTACCAGCAAAAATCCCCTACAGGATTGCAGGCTGTATTTGCCCAGAGGTTTCTTCAGATGCAGAGAAATAATTATTAGAGCTCAACACTACAGAGCTAACAAAATCAATATGGATAAATATTTCCTTCCACAAATAAGAGGGAATTCTGGCTCTTCACTCACAAAGAAAACATCTTTGCTGCAAACTGTAACATCCAGGAAATCAACCCTACATTAAAGAGCTTTAAAGGGAAAAAAAAAATCAGGATAAACAACAGAGATGTGCTGAGAACTTGCACTGAATTTTACGCATGTAGCGAGCCCCAGTAAAACTCTACGTGAGACAAGCTATTACTGCAAGAGGGAAGTTCACTGTGCAACACCAGCCTGTTACGCAAATAAAGCTCTGTTCTGAAGAGCCCTTTATTCATTTCCTTCATCAAGCGTTGCTGCCACAGTCATTTATAACATCCGTGATCCCCGCTCACACTGTCTGAAAAGCGCATCCAAGTGCACAGCCACTGCCCACCACACACATGTGGCCAAGGAGCACAAGCTGGAGCAGACACTGTCAAAACTACCCAACCTGCAGCGTGGCCAAGGGGTGGCCCTTCTGCTGCTGCTGCTGCACCGGGGGACAGCAGGCAGCACTCAGCCAGCCCAGAGTGGCTTCACCTCCACCTGCTGCTCAGCAGCAGGCACCGAGGCAGGACCACACCACTTGATGACCAGTAGGTGTGTGAGGGTGCGCACATGCAGATACACAACACATGTCCCACTGACAACAGCACAAGTCACTGCAGCTGCCACAGAGCAATGCTTGTGACAGTGATGGAAGCACCCGAACAAGGAGGCAGCTTCCCAGCAGGTCCACACTGTCATCTGGAAGCAGGTGAGAGGCAGGGCTTGCTACACTCCTGGCAAGAGGCGCTGATGGGCAGAAAGGCAGCAAATGTGTTTCAGTGCCAACAGATTCATTTTCCTCCCAAGCATGTAAATACTCAGGGTGTCACAGGAATGGAGCTAACCGAGGAGCTGTGGGAAAGGAGAAGCTCAAATGGAAATGACAGATATTCTGGTTTGTGTTATTACATCTCTCAGAAAAGCATAATGTTCCAATGAACTGAGTCGCTCAGATGCTCTTTGAGGATTGCTTTTTGTCCATGGATTGTTTTCAACGAGAAGGACTGACATCTCCAAGCAGAGGGTTACAGATGAGGGTCATATCCATCCCTACATCACCACGGAGCACTGAAAGCAGCAGAGTTGGGATCGCTGACAACAGCCAAGGACCTAGCCCCTAAATTTGTCACACAGCCCCTACTGAAATTATCTCTGCTGTTGTGCCCTCTGATCCTGTCCCTTGACACTGTAACGCCCAGAGCAGCCAAAAAAAGAAAGAGAAAGCATTTAACACCACCAATAAACTGCCAGGGAATTTACACACAGCGTCATACAAAAAGCCTCAAGTAGCATAGCTAATCAGAAGCTGAATTCAAGCAGCAGCTAACAGAGATAGAAACGCATCCAGAAAGCGTGTGAATTACTCAGTTCATTCTTGCTGGAGTTGGAAGTGGGCTTTTTTTTCCCCTTTTCAGTTGACAAATAGCACGAGAAACGATTCAGCTTGAAAAATGTTACATGACTTCCAATCAAATATAATGATGAAAAAAATCCAACAATACAGGATCAGCAGCAGTAAAATGTTTAATTTGAAGGAGATGAAGAGATGCCTACAGCATCTATAAAGCAATCAACCAAAGAGAGGGCTGAGAGCGGGAGGGAAAGAATAATTTCACTTAACCCTTCCTTTTCTGGAGTGACCTCTCCATCCTCTCCAGATAAAGGGAACACATAACCCAGGGTGATCAGTGTAGATACTAGGAAAAGGTTGTATTCTATTTCCCTTTCACCATTATTTATGACCTTAAATCTGCAGGCAAAATCTCCACTGCCTTCAGGCACTGCTGTGCACACCCTGCCGTAACACCCTGGGTTTTGGGTGAGTGCTACTCTGTGTCTGTACTCCAAAGAGGGAAATCCCATTGGTCTTCCATGATTAAACATAGGCTGCAGCGCATTTTCCAGTGCAGATAAAGCCCCCAGATGATGGTGTGACCTACCACGGAACACCACCTGTATGGTGGGCTTCAGAGAGAAGGGGTAAAAACAAAAGCCATGCTTGGCTTTCCCTTTCCCAAGAGAGCTGGTGCTGGGCTGGGAAAGGTGCGCATCCCAACACAGGTGCACCGTGCTCCTCTTTTCCACTCCATTCCCCTTCTTCTGTGCCCTTCCTCACCACTCCCCAGTCACAGGTGGGGCAGCCTCCTCCCCCACTGCAGCCACCACCATCTGGGAGCTGACTTCCTTTCCCCTCCTTCTGACTCACTGACTCCCCATCTACTTCCAAATCAAATGCGAAGATACAGATTTCCTTCCATGCCCATAGGACTTATTTTCCCCATCCCTTCAAGAGATTTCATTTTTAAATTCCACAGACATGGCTGTCCTCTCAGGGTTTCAGAACAGAGCAGCTTTGGAAGATGATGCTTTATGAAGGTTCATTCAGGTAGACTTCGACCTCAGAGACGGACTCATTTTTCCAAACACATTAATCAGCCTGGTACAGAACTTCTGAGTCAATGACTACAATGGAAGTTGACTTTAAAAGATAAAGTGACTGGTTTTAAATCGCACTGTACTGAAATATGATTTGAAGGCCACAATGAAAACCAGCTGGAAGCCATGTGTAAAATATAACAGTACATGCCTACAGGGAAGGAAGTGAGATATTGAATGATTAAGTTTAGGAGAGTATATAATGCAGTGTATCATTATGGGAGTGATCAGGATTACTTGTAATAAGCTAAGGGCTTGAGGTCTTTCTAAAATCCAAAGCCAAGAATTACTGGGGGGGAGGGATCACCGCATTGCTTTACACGTATCCACTCCCCACGTCTTGGGATGCTCCCGCAGGAGAAACCTGACTTTGGCAGGCTGGGAAAGCCATGTTCCCACAGAAAAGAGAGGTGAGCGAACCCAAACTGAACGATGGACGTCACTGTAATTGCAGTCTGTGTCTGCACTGTATTTAATTTTGGCTGGATTCACTATCCCACTGATGTTTGTTTCCATTTCCACCCACTTTCTAGCTAGAACTAGACACGTGAAAATGGTGAGTTGCTAAGGGGAGCCAAGCAGAGTGCCTGAGCGGGGTACACACACGGGCACCAACTGCAGCGAGGCACTGGCTGACAACACTCACCCTGTGCAATGCCACCTTTATTGCCTGAACAACCATTGCAGCAGATTAGAAACAGGAACTGCATCTACGTCAAAACCCCGAGCTCTTTTGTTTCATAGGGGGGTTCTGCTCTTCCCTTTGCAAACAAGATTAGTCATGTGAGATCCCTTCCCACGGGTTTTGCTGAGATGATTAGGTGCCCCTTACTATGAGTAACACCAAAAATGTTCCGTTCTTGCAAGACAAGACTGCATTTGTCAGAGACTGCTCTTGTTGAACAGACTCTGCCTTCCTCTGTGCAGAGAGAGAGGGGGCACCAACAGGTACCTCAAGTGGCACGTGCTGGCCAGTGCCGATTCTGATAACCTAAACCCACAAGGAACAAAGTTGAATGGATTGGCCTTCTCTTCACCAGAGGAGGCTTAGATTGGGTATTAGGAATCATTTCTTCATGGAAAGGGTTGTCAAGCACTGGAACAGGCTGTCCAGGGAAGTGGTTGAGTCACCACACCTGGAGGTATTTAAAAGACATGTAGACGTGGCACTTAAGAGACATGGTTTAGCGATGGGCTTGGCAGTGTTAGACTAATGGTTGGACCTGGCGATCTTAAGGGTCTTTTCCAACCTAAACAGTTCTATGATTCTATTCTCCATTGTGTCAAGGGGTCTCACCTTTTAGCTTTCCTTCACACTGTCCTCATGGCCAGCCATAACACTCCATCACACCAAGGACTTTTATACCAAAGAGAGCAAGTTTTCAGCCTGCTTAACGAGCCCAAAATAGAAGCTAGGGAGAATGCACACACATTACA